CCACGGTCTGCTAGTAGTACTAATCCAACTCTCCTAAATAATCACTAATTAAATAATTTAAAAATACGGCACACTGATCACAAAAGGCCAAAACAACTAGTACTACTCCCTTACACGCTCACGTAGATGGGTTTGCATGCATGGAGTTCTAAATTGTGGATCGACGTCCTCTGCTCCAACAAGCTCAACATGCCCATTAGAAATACGTGTTGCCATCTTGCCACAACGTACAAAGTTGTCTCTCAATTCAATTTGTTGATTGCCTTCATGCCCAACAGTAGCTTCTTTCGGTTTCTTTTTCTCATTGCGCTTGGCAGGAATTACATACTTTTCTGTCCTTCTCTGGTTGGTGTTATTGACCATACTTTTGGCGATAACACATGAGGTCACATCATCCTCCCTTCCTTGAAAGAAAACTATCCTCGGTTTGGACCTATACTTTGCTGATTTTTTCTTGAACACTTCAACAGTACACTTTATATTGTTTGCATCCTTGGGAAGAATAGCATAGAACTCACCCTTATGCATAAAAGTATACTTGTTTGTTCGCCCATGATGAAGAGCGTTAACATCATGCTGCCATGGACGCCCCAAAATAAGGTGACAAACATGTAGTGGCATAACGTCGCATTCCACCTTATCAACATAGCCATCAACAGAAAAAGGCACCTTCACCCTATGTGTTACCTTCACTTTGCCCACATCATTTATCCACTTCATATAGTATGGTTTTGGGTGCTCCCATGTTGACAAAGAAAGAGACTCCACCACACCCTTGCTAATCATGTGGCTAGCACTGCCGCCATCAATTATCAGTTTGCAAACCTCACCCTTGATGATACATGCAGTTTGAAAAATACTCCGCCGTTGTCCTTGTTCAACAATGGTCTTGTCATCTCGCTGGACCTTATGTGCTAGCAAACTCTCCATATCAGGATCATCTTGAGGATAACATAGTATGGTATCACCATGACCTCTTTCAATTCCATCCTCTAACTTAGGCGTCTCATCTTCAGATTCTGAAATATATTCCGCATCAACAAGTAGAACCCTTCGTTGATTGGAACATTCATGCTTCATGTGTCCACGTCCTCCACACTTGTGGCAAATAATATTACGATGATGAGATGATGACGCATTAGATGAAACCTGAGAAACCTCCTTTGGCGCAGCCGCCACTTTGCTCTGTTCAATGCCTCCCGACTTATAAGAAGGAGTCGGTTTAGCACTAAACCCACCATCAATAGGAGAAGAACCACGTCGCCCACTGTAAGTTGGACGAGTCTCTGAAGCTTGCTTCTCCAATACCCAACGTTCAGCACGCTCCGCTTGATGAAGCAACTCATGAATATCATTATATTGCATTAAATCAACACGGTCGCGAATCTTTTCTTCTAACCCCTCAAAGAAACGTACCATGGTCGCCTCCGCAGACTCACGCACAGCTGTACGGATCATCAAAACTTGCATCTCCTTATAGTACTCATCAACTGTTTTCGTACCTTGCACTAGACGATGCAGTCTACTATGAAGCTGGCGAGTGTAGTAAGCAGGCACAAAACGTTCCCTCATGATTCGCTTCATGTCAACCCATGTCGCTGGTCGCTCATTAGTACGATTCTTATTATCCCACCATACAAGAGCATACTCTGTAAATTCCATAGATGCAACACGAACCTTCTTCTCTTCGGAGTAGTTTGACCGTCAAAAATCTGATTTACGCGCATCTCCCACTCCAAATATTTCTCCGGGTCAGCACAACGTCCCGAGAATTCAGGTATGGTTATCTTGATTCGACCCAAACCATCATCCTCGTGGGCACCATTGCGGCCATAGTCACGGCCCCGCCCAGCATGGCGATGAGCCCCAGCATCATGCCGTGGTCGGTGAGGTAAGCCTCCACGGGCATCGAAATCCTCAGAAAAATCACCATCATCGTCATTGTTGCGGTCACGACGTCGTCGTCGTGAGCGGGACTGTCGGGGTGCCACATCTCTCGCCCGAAGGCGCTGAACTGCTGCGGTGAGCCGATTAAGACTCGCAGTCACCACCTGTAGACTATCAGTGCGTTGTCGGTCGCTGGCAGTCAAACGCTCGTTCAACCTGTCCTCGACGCCAACAATATTTGCAGACAATTCCTCAACCCTTGTCCCAAGCTTCTTGTTCGCTCCCTTGATCGACATCAGATGGATACGTAAATCATCACTTATATTCAGATCCTCCGGAAGTTCATCGCCCTCCTCATGATCAGATTTCTCATGCTGCGAGTTCACCATCTTTCAAACAATTGAATCAAATAGCCGAGAAAAAAAATTGTACTGTGATCAACCTTGCTCTGATACCACTTGATGCGAACGTCGACAGAAAAACGACGGTGCGAACAATTTCTCAATCTTTCACAGTACAAATCAGTTTATATATAGCAGCCAGACAACGATCTAGAATTAGGTTTACTAAGATGCAAACCCAACCAAACAACAAGCGAACCCCACGAAGGCCGGAATCACCTGGACGATCTTTAGCAGATCACGTGTAGCAATTGGAGCAGCTCTCCAATCCACACGCACAAGAACAAACCACGATGGGTTCTCAACAGAAGCAATACCACAGAATTGGCCGCCGCCACATCTCGGCGATTTTCTGGTTTAATTAACTCCAAAAACCTCCTCCTGATACACGGCCGGCTGGCCCTTTTAATAGTGCACGCATGCACAAGGTACAACCGACCTGGACTCCTTTTATACGGGCCGAATACTAATTGGACTCCAACCTAACCATGGCCACGGTCTGCTAGTAGTACTAATCCAACTCTCCTAAATAATCACTAATTAAATAATTTAAAAATACGGCACACTGATCACAAAAGGCCAAAACAACTAGTACTACTCCCTTACACGCACACGTAGATGGGTTTGCATGCATGGAGTTCTAAATTGTGGATCGACGTCCTCTGCTGCAACAAGCTCAACATGCCCAATAGAAATACGTGTTGCCATCTTGCCACAACGTACAAAGTTGTCTCTCAATTCAATTTCTTGATTGCCTTCATGCCCAACAGTAGCTTCTTTCGGTTTCTTTTTTTCATTGCGCTTGGCAGGAATTACATACTTTTTTGTCCTTCTCTGGTTGGTGTTATTGACCATACTTTTGGCGATAACACATGAGGTCACATCAGAGATGAGCACTGCATCACGACAACGTCTTCAAGAAGGTCACGACGCCCACGAGCGCCGCCGTCTGCCGGCTCCGGCCAAAACCAGAGTCAAAGCTTTCGCTCGGTGTAGTAGCACAATGCCCTGACCAAACCAGCTGAACCTCCAGCAATGCATCACCACCCACAGATCAGCTTGTCGATGAAGAACGGCTAGGAGCCGCCGCAGCAAGCGTCCAGCCATCAAATCCAGCCGCCAAGCCTGATCCGACCACAGCTGGCCGGATCCAAGGCCTCCCATCGCAGACTGAGCCACCGCGGCCTGCCAGCACCATGCGGATGTAAGCTATAGTGGAGCGCCGCCCGAAGATCCAGCCGCGCCGTAGCCCACACCTGCGCCAATGCGCGCCCAGCGATGCACCTCCAAGCGCCAGACGTGAAAACGCGGCCCTCGCGTCCGCGCCCAGCCACCCCTCTGCTGCCGTGCAGCTCCACATGGCGGACGCCTCGTCGCGTCGCCCAACGGCCAGATCCGAGCCGCCCCGGGCCGCCTCGCACCTCGCCCGCGGCGCACCACCCCTGGGCCTCTACGCCGCGCGCCGCCCAGAGCCTTCACACCGCACGCCCATGCCTTGCCCATACCCACCGCCGGCAGCAGCCGCCGACGCCAACCCACATCCGCCTCGGGGAAGAATCACAGCCGAGCTCACGGAATCCGACGCGACCATGCCGCTGAAACAGCCGCGCCGCCGCCGCGCCGCCCGGGCTTTGCCCGGGGATGCCCTCCGGCGGCGCCGAAGGGAGGTGGGGAGGTAGGGAAGGTCTGCCGGCGATTGGATCTGGGCGCCCTGGTGCGGCCGCAGGAGCCGCACGGGAGCGATGTCCGTCTCTTCTAGTAACTACTCTTCGCTCTACGTGGAGTTCAAGTGTTATCACGAAGGCACACCAACACCACAAAGGCTCGCTTTCTTTTTCTTGAGATATCACCACAACGTGTGATTGCCAACCAATATGGCTAGCTTCTTCCTCTACACTAAAGATGGGCAACCTCCACGACCATTTCACAAATCCAACGAAATTAACTCGGGCCACTAGTATATATCATATGAACAGAATTTGCAGTGGATCCCATTGCTTGCTCTCTTAGTTTGTAGTAAACAACAGCTGAAATATACATATTTATAAATCGAGCTGGTTAAGAGGCCGACATTGTTCAAAAAATAGGGTGACACTCTCCATTGATCTTATCCAAGAGGTTTCTAAAAACGAACAGATAGTGAAGGACAATTGAACCCAGTTTTCACCCACTTATAGGTTTTCGGCACATGAATTTGTTTTCGTTCCATGCAAATTAAGAGTGTGTGGGGCCAAAAAAAAAGTAAATTAAGAGGTGGAGGCAAGTGAGAGTTTATGGGTGTGTTCCCGCAAAAAATAAAAAAGTGTATGCGTGTGAATTAGACGTTTTCCGTTGGAGTGTATAGCTCAATTGAACCAAACATACCATTGGTCTAGCTTAGCATTGAATATAGTTTTCTAGAACGGTCCTAGTTCTTCCCTTGGTTAAAATTTGGGATGATAGAGAGAAGGGTGCTAGTTCATCTCTGATACGAGCAGAGTACTTAACTTTGAAGCGAGCTAGTGAACCGAGCACACAATAAAGTACTTACTCCGTACTTACGAGATAAGGCTTGTATGACGCAACAATTAGAACACATACTCCATGCAAATAACAACAGCGCATACCAAACCATAGCCAGCAAGCAAAGGCAATCATATCCACGAACGGAAGTAACATAATCCACTTTTTTGTTGAAAATAACCATGCTGATAAATCTACAGAACATATCTTCTAATCAGTTCCACATTCACACGAAGACTTTAACTCATGAGCCACAAAGCGCTTGAGATTGACAGCATGCTCCTGCACTCTATCCTGCAGTATGAACATATGATACACTCATTAAGCTCAGTTAAGCAAAAAAAAACATCATAAATGCAACTTCTTTGCACAAGTGTCAGTTCTTAAGTTAATAAATCTAGTTTTGTACGATTGTAGGCCTTCAAATTTGAAGGAAGCTGCCATTCGCCATCAACATATATAGGTTGGCAGATTGCATCCCCTTTACCAAACCTTGGCACCACATCAGGAAAAATGAAACTCGGGGAAGAGTGAATAGTGTTGCTTTTATCTTAGGAATACGAGAAAAAGGAAAAATTACACTGTGTACTACATGCGCTGGCATCCACAGGAGCATGTCAGATTCACACCTTGGCTACTACATGTGTGAAAAAAATAAGATTGTGAATCCAGTGTGTGGAACTTTCCAATGGAAAACCATACAGTTATGAGCAGCATCAACACCTCAACAGTCATATCACATAATAATGGAAGGATTGCCCTGATGCACATCTATAAAAATATTTAAAATGGACCGTGGCACAAATCAATTGAAAATGAAGATGTCATGATATTTGCTCGCCTATGTGTTACAGAAAATGGAACTATATTTCGACGAATACCAACAACAGAAAATCTGGATGTCTCATCGGTAACTGAACTTAGAAACTGTACAACGTTATCATACACAATGATCTGATCAGATACCCTAGCAGAACTCTGACAGATAAATTAATTAATAGGACTAGCACGTATGATGGAAGCTTCCAATTGTTAAAGGAAACACAACAACATTAATCGTAGCACATCCACATAAAACAAGCATGTATATACTACATATTCATAAAACCTCTATTTTCACCAAGTTGTGCATATATATAAGATGGTATTTGATATATTGGTACAAATTAATATCCAGATTCAGTCAAGCATACACACATAGCCATTGGCTAGCAAGAAGAAATAGAGTTGAAGGCAAAGACAGCATCACATACATGGAGGCAATTGAGTGCCAAGTTTAGCCACTTCCTTCTTCAACCACAAACCACGGAGTCTTGATTCATAGCATAGAAAAAACTCTCGACTTGATGCATCCTTCAAAACATCGGAGGCAAGGACCTTGATCTCGTCGGATACATCATCCATGCCATGCAACACCTCCATGCACCTTGAGATTGAGTATTGTTGTCCTTTATTTGACGCTTTCTGTTCCATGGTTTCTTCAGTGCTTGGTATCGATGTGGTTCCCTTATATTTCTTATTGGGTCTTCCACATTGTGATCCACCATTTCCACTCCCTGATTTGGCATGATCTTCACTTTTTTGCTCGAAGGAAAGTACTGGGGCCTCGTCATCATCATTGTCAATAACAGGATTTGTAACCGAGGGCGTGTTCTTCACAGAGGTAGTTGCCCTCCTGAACGATAATGGGGCCTTGACATCATCATTGTCAAACAAAGTAGGATTCGCAACCGAGGGCCGGTCCTGCACAGAGATAGTTGCCCTCTCGAAGGATAACAAGGGCCCATGTTCTTCACCAGCACTCCTGAAGGATAAAGGGGCACAAATATCAGGATTCACAAATGAGTGCCTGTTCTTGACAGAGGTAATTGCCCTCTTGAAGGATAACCGGGGCCCGTGTTCTTCACCATCCCTCCTAAAGGATAATGGGGCATTGTCACCAATGTTGCCGAAAATATCAGGATTCACAAATGAGCGCTTGTTCTTCAGTACAGAGGTACTTGCCCTCTTGAAGGATAACCAGGGCCCATGTTCTTCGCCAGCCCTCCTGACGGATAATGGGGCATTGTCACCAATGTTGCTGAAAGTATCAGGATTCACAAATGAGCACCTGTTCTTCAGTACGGAGATACTTGCCCTCTTGAAGGATAACTGGGGCCCATGTTCTTCACCAGCCCTCCTAAAGGATAATGGGGCATCGTCACCAATGTTGCCGAAAATATCAGGATTCGCAATGGAAGGTATGTCTTTCATAGTACTGACAGTCGTATTTGCCCTCTTGAAGGATAATGGGGCCTTGCCCTCATCATCATCACTGTCCAAAAAAGCAATTGCCACCTGGGAGGTTTCTTCTGCAGATCGGGAAGTAGACATACCTGCGAGTTCAGCTCAGCCGTGTGAGCAAACAGCAGGTGAAACACTCTACCAATTCGGAACAAACGTACTACTCCCTCCCTCCGTCCCAAAATTTGTGTCTTACGTTTGTCTAGATAAGGATGTATCTAACACTAAAATGTACTCCCTCCGTCCGAAAATACTTGTCATCAAAATGGACAAAAAAGGATGTATCTAGAACTAAAATACATCTAGATACATCCCCTTTTATTTATTTTGATGACAAGTATTTCCGGACGAAGGGAGTAACTAGATACATCCGTATTTAGATAAATCTAAGACAAGAATTTTGGGACAGAGAAAGGGAATAATTGATGATAACATCAAATCCCCCTGACGGCTAAACCGTGACCAAATTAGGGTTTGCGTCGTCTTGGTGGATCAAAACAGCGGCTACGCATAGGGCTAATCCTTTCCGCCGCAATCATAGCCCATTTTGCTAGAGAGAGAGGGAGAGAGAGAGAGACGCACCTAGGTGCCGGGACGCGTCCGCTGTCAGCCCCGGAGCCGGGCAGGGCTGGGCGTCGCTTATCACGTGTCACGCTCGCCCTTCGGCAAGTCGGCGGCGGGTAGGGGTGGAGGGGGGAGCTAGGGCTCACCGCTGATCTGTCTGGTCTGCTTCTGGAGTCTGGACCGAGACGGTTCATATTTCGGTGGGCGCAGGAGCGCTACTCTGCGCCGGTCGACCGGCCAGAGCGCTGGAACGGTCCCCTCCCGAACCGTAGGATTAGGTCACTATCAGCGCGTCTTCGTTAAAAGTGATCTAAACGCTTTTATATTATTTTACAAAGGGAGTATTAGGACTGTGTGTCTCTCATTTTAAAAAATGTGTCTCTGGAAGAATGATTAGCGACAATAATTGTTTAAAGTCCGACAATGATTTAGTGTCTTATGAGTGTTTACAACGTATCGACTTCGTCAATCTCAAGATGATGTGCCGGCTCAGTCTCGGAGGTGCTTATAGGGATAGGATATGCATGTGTTCGTTTATAAAGGTGAGTGTATTGTACTATGTTAAAAAAAGAGGAAAGGGAGGGTTTGTGCGCTATCAACCTCGATATGCATAAAGCTTATGATAGGGTTGAGTGACCTTTTTCTGAAGGATATTATGCTAAACTGAGTTTCCTGATAAATGGGTAAATTATGCAATGTGTATCCACTATTGAATATTGGACTTGGTTTAATATGAAAGAAAGCGAGAGTTTCAAGCCTACGAGGTTTATGACAGGGAGATCCCTATCTATTTTTTTTGTTTCTATTATGTACAAAGCATCTGACTACTCTATTGATGCACGCAGAGGAGAATGATTTTTTTTTCGTGTGTGCAAATGCCCCACAATCACCAATCTTCTCTTCGCTAATGATTCATGAGGGCTAATAAGCACAATGCTAACACTTTGATGTCAACTTTGGATTTATATTATGTCGCTTTGGGGCAAATGGCTCAGGGTGTGTTTGGTTGCAAAGTATTCTCAAAGTATTTCAAGAATACTATATTTTATTAAAAAATATGGTTTTAAATACTTTCAGATGTTTGGCTCTAATAAAAATTGTAGTATTATAAACTATAGTACCCACGGAACTGTAGTTCTTTTGCAGTACTAAATAAAGAGGTTGGGACCTCTTTTCTAAAAACTGAGAAATGCAACAAAGGCCTTGTGTAGTGTTGGCCTATTGCGACACTGTATACTTTTGATTGCCAAACATACCACTGTTTCTGCAATACTTAAAAAGATTGTTGGTTTCATAAACTACCACATTCATTATCATTGGTATAAAAGATAGTAGTATCAAAATACTGAGGTTTGAATAAGACATTGCTTCCAAACAGAGCCTTAGTATCTCTTTTAGTCCAATACAAGCGCTGAGGTTAGAGAACAAATTTGTACCACTCCGAATATCTTGACCCTGGTCCTTGGTGACAGATACTTAATATTGGGTTGGATAAAACTAATTGTTTTCTAGTATTTTATTGATCATATTATTACGAAAATCAATGGTAGGACGGAAAAATTATTATTTGTTGGAGGGAAGGAAATTCTTCTTAAGTATGTTGTTCAAGCTATCTCTACCTATGTTGTGTCGTCTTTAAAATTTATAAAAATGATTTGCAAAGGAATTATTGATGTGATGTCACATTTTTGGTGGGGGGCGAGGACAACCAGAGGAGGATAGATTGGGTGGCTTGGTGGAAAATGAATGTCCAACGAATCAAGGAGGGATGGGCTTTCACTATTTCAATGTGGCAATGCTAGCAAACAGGCTTGGTGTCTCCTCGAGAATCCAGACTCTCTATGTGCCACTATATTGAGAGTTAAGTGCTTTTCTAACGATGATTTACTGAACAGAAAGTACTCTTAAGCACCATGAATACAAATCACAAAGCATGATGTAGGGTATTACCTCATCACGGGGGTTCGAACCTGGGTAGCCACCTTGTGCGAACTCCTCTCTAGTACTTTTGGCTGCGTTCGCCACCCTATCGAGGGTACTGGCATTTTTCCAAATTGTCACTCCCCATGATCACCATCGGCAAGCTAGTGGATGCGCCCCGCCCCGCACTAGTGCCTAGTGGCAGAGAGGGGAATCATGGTGCCTCATCTTCGACTAGTAGATAGGTTGGGGTTTAAGTCCTCACTGGGGCAACGCTTATTCTTTGTACCAGTCTTTCGGGCTGCGATCCTCCTCAAGTTCGGCGGTAGAGGGACGAATTATATGAATTAGACGAAGCCCGACATATATTAATGACAGTTCCTTGGGGCACCGAGGTTAGGATTTCTCATTGTGCGTACGCGACGACGAGATTTAGTGTTAGGTTCTTCAGATTGATTCAAGAGTTCAATGGCAACAATTGTGGTTCTGTGGCACTAGTCTTTAGGGACAACACACAAAAACTTCTCGGCTGTCATCGACAAGGTTAGACCGACTTCAGTATGGGGGAGGGGGGACAACAGTGCATTGTTGTCTTGTTCTGTCGGCGGTAGTGGTTGTTTGGTTGTCCAGGGACCCCCCCCATGTAATTTCTATTATGTTTGGGGTGCTTTGTAATTCTGGTGAACTTTTATAATAGATTTGAATCCTATCCATAAAGGTGAAACTTCTAAAAATTAAAAAGGCACTCATTTTAAAGGCTGGAATTTTGAGGGAATATGGTAGAGTTGCTTCAATGAGGAATAGTTGAGTTTTCTAGCGTAGTGCTTGAGATAAGCTTTGTAACATCAAATTAACGTCAATGATGCCTCTACTCCCAAACTGTTTCTCTCCAAACCCTAGAAGATGCGACCTCTAAGCACACCGCGCTGCCACTGAAGGAAATATGCCCTAGAGGCAATAATAAAGTTGTTATTTATATTTCCTTATATCATGATAAATGTTTATTATTCATGCTTGTATTAACCGGAAACTTAGTATATGTGTGAATACATAGACAAATAGAGTGTCCCTAGTATGACTCTACTTGACTAGCTCGTTAATCAAAGATGGTTAAGTTTCCTAACCATAGACATGTGTTGTCATTTGATAAACGCGATCACATCATTAGAGAATGATGTGATGGACAAGACCCATCCGTTAGCTTAGCATAATGATCGTATAGTTTTATTGCTATTGCTTTCTTCATGACTTATACATATTCCTGTGACTATGAGATTATGCAACTCCCTAATACCAGAGGAACACTTTGTGTGCTATCAAATGTCACAACATAACTGGGTGATTATAAATATGCTCTACAGGTGTCTCCGATGGTGTTTGTTGAGTTGGCATAGATCAAGATTAGGATTTGTCACTCCATATATCGGAGAGGTATCTCTGGGCTCTCTCGGTAATGCTCATCACTATAAGCCTTGCAAGCAATGTGACTAATGTGTTAGTTGCGGGATGATGCATTACGGAACGAGTAAAGAGACTTGCCGGTAACGAGATTAAACTAGGTATGGTGATACCGATGATCGAATCTCAGGAAAGTAACGTACCGATGACAAAGGGAATGACGTATGTTGTTATGCGGTTTGATCGATAAAGATCTTCGTAGAATATGTAGGAGCCAATATGAGCATCCAGGTTCCGCTATTGGTTATTGACCGAAGATGTGTCCCGGTCATGTCTACATAGTTCTCGAACCCGTAGGGTCCGCACGCTTAACGTTCGATGACAATTTGTATTATGAGTTACGTGATTTGATGATCAAAGTTTGTTCAGAGTCCCGGATGAGATCATGGACATGACGTGGAGTCTCGAAATGGTCGAGAGGTAAAGATTCATATATAGGACGATGGTATTTGGATACCGGAAGTATTCTGGGTGATACCGGGTCACCGGAAGGGATTCTGGGCAACCCCCGTCAAAGATATGGGCTTAATGGGCCAAGTAAGGGAACACAGCAGCCCACAAGGGGCTAGTGCGCCCCCTATAGGGCCAACCACGTGGGGAGAAAGGGAAAGGAGAGGAGGAAAAGGAAAGTATGAAGTAGGACTCCTACTTCCTTCCCCTCCCCCGTCCTTCCTTTCCCCCTTGTCCAAATATGGTAAGGGGTCCCGAATTGGACTAGGGGCCCAAGTAGGATTCCTCCTACTTGGGCGCACCCTAGGCTGCCTCCCTCCCACTCCCTCCTTTATATACGTGGGGAGGGCTGATACTTCTCCAATGTATCTATAATTTTTGATTGTTCCATGCTATTATATTACCTGTTTTGGATGTTTATGGGCTTTACTTTACACTTTTATATCATTTTTGGGACTAACCTACTAACCGGAGGCCCAGCCCAAATTGTTATTTTTTTGCCTATGTCAGTGTTTCAAAAAAAAGGAATATCAAACGGAGTCCAACCGGAATGAAACCTTCAGGAGTGATCTTTTTGGTACAAAAGCAATCCCGGAGACTTGGAGTGGACGTCAAGAAGCAGCCGAGGCGGGTAGGTGCGCCCCCACCCTTGTGGGCCCCTTGTGGCTCCCCTGACCGACCTCCTTCGCCTATATATA